AACACATTTACTAACAAACAGCGGAGCCACACTAGCCCGCAGGAGGAAAATTTTTTGGGATGTATAATGTGACCATAGAAGAGCTTCAACCATTGAAACCGGGCCTATTAATCAAGTTGCTCGATGAAATAGGACTCACCGATGCGCTTTAGGCAGAGCACGGGTATACAATAGCTCTCAAAGGGCGCAGTTTACTATACCCTGAAACTATATCTACATCTCTATAAACAATAACCCATTTCATAGAGATCTTTACATACCAGATATAATATGTTGTACCTGTTTTTTTTTTTTTTTTTAACCGGTTAACATATTTTACTTATGTACACGCCTATTTGACCGTATTATAGTTAGAAATTATCTCAATATCATTGCAAATCAATACCAATATACCTTGGATTATTTTTCGGAAGATTTTAGAAAAAATCCGTTGTATCGGATTTTATCCATCGCCTTCCTAGAGCAACATTTTCACCATATGTGGCGAAACGTTTTGATGTTGCTAATAATAAAAAATTATACGTATTGAAATATGTCAGAACTATTTTTTTTAATAAGTAACACTATCATGACATTCTATGCGATGTCGGCATTTTAGCAAGATTACTTGAATCATTGCCGGTAGTGCTCACAGAATTTTTCTTTAATCTCTGCTTTTATTCGCTCTCGGAATCCATGAAGGAATACAATTGAAACGAATGACTAAGCCACTCCTACAGTCTATGGAGATTTAATTAATGACGAATCTTTACCCGTTTCTCTCCCCCACCAAGCCTTAAATGGACATTAGAGTAGGTGATACATGCAAACTCACGACGAGCCATCACTCATGGGCACAATGCCGTTGTTAGCATTTCCTCATTGTTTACTCCGACACTATTACATTACATTGTCATTTGGCAAACGCGAAAGCACATGTTGAGGCGGCGCGTAACGGTTGTGTTTACTAAGCTTTTTCCACACGTGAAAGAACATTTTCTTTATTGTTTAACTTGCAAATGATTAATTATGAGTTATTCAAGCGAGACATAAATCCAAGTGAAGATATTAAAATGTTAAAAATAAAGATATATCAGAATGAATATACGCTGATGTTAAGGAGATCAGGGATCGGGTCTTTTTAACAATGAATGACCTCGCCAAGGTTTATGTCTTTTGGTTTTCTTCCGGGCTAGTTAGAATCTCATTTTGTTATATTTTACTGTTAATTACATAATATTCGATCGAAAGCGTGGCATAATTATAATAGTAATTCATTGTTACAAAGTCCATATTCTTGATCTTCACATCAATGTCTGGTCGTAGTTGGCTGATTACCATCATATACAGGATAGTAAACTACCCTGTTTTAGTTTCTGCCTTCTTACGTTCACTAAACATCCATCACATGTTGCAAAACGAATTAATATCAATTCAGCAATTTGAGGAGCAATATACTACCTACTCCCACCTATATATTATGCAGGGTGGGCGACCAAGACCCGAGGGGTTAAATGCCTGGGCAGACTCGTACCCCATCCCTAAAAGGTCCGGGACTTGGTCGGCTCACGCGTGTCCTGCATAAACCTCTTAGACCTGTTCACAAACCCCAAGATTTTGGACCATCAGAGTGATTTGGTGATGTCGTCTCCTTCAAAAGTTTCAAATTTAGACCTAGCGAACCAATCACACATAGTAGTGCCTTGCCGTTTCTTCTTTTATTTCGCAAAAACGGCAAAAGGGATCTGGTAGAATACCCTTTACGGAGAGGTGTCTTCTCAGTGGGCAGTAGCCCGTCAGGATACCTATCAGCCTCCTAATTCCCTTCCTTGAGATAGAGAATAGCCATTTCGATTCTGCTGGTTTGATCTCCTTAACCAACTCCTTCGATTGCGTGTCCGGAGGATAGATTCCATTCCTTAAGGAATTGTTTCATACCCCAGTTTTTAATACTCTCTTTCGCTGTGCTTATAGAGTGAGGTTGTGGCCCGACAAACGCAGCATTTGAGCCTTCTTTGGCCAGGCTATGCGCCTCTTCATTGCCATAGTGTCCTTTATGTGCTGGTATCCAAATAAGGGTTACCCTATTCTCATACCTGGAAGTGATCCTATTGATAAGATCAACAGTTTCCTCCATCAGTCTAGATGTTGACAAATCTTTTTGTAATGACCTAAGACTAGCCTGTCAGAAAAAATTATAATATCTATTCCCTTGATTTTATTTTCCATAAGTGTTCTACAACACACTTTAATGGCCCAGATTTCCGCCTGAAAAACGGAGGTATTATTGCCAAGAGGGAAGGAGATGCTGATACCTAATTTACGTATATGGATTCCAGCACCACTTCCTTTACCTTTGATAACTGAACTATCTGTATAGCACAGTCTATGTTACGATGGTCATAATCCACACTACAGTTATATTCACAAGGAGTGGCTACCTTAAAGTACTTTTCCCCGAAGGGTTTTTTTAACCTTTTAATCGCTAACGCTTAATAATTGGCCGTTAACCTTACTCAATAGAAGGATTTTCGAGTGACCCATGTTATTGCACTTATGATTCCAACTGCCTTCACTAAATAATTTGTAGCAGCTGGTTAGTGCTCTGACCTTAGCCTCTATGTGTAGAGGTGTGGTATTGGTTATGATTTCAAGTGCTAGGGTGGGTGTAGTTGAAAATGCTCCTGTCACCATCAAACAACCTGGTCTTTGAAATGACCTTAATTTGTTAATATTCCCTTTATTTTCTAGATCTTTCCACCAGACTAAAGCTGCGAACAATAATCTAGGTAGAATAATTGCAGTATATAGCCATTTGGCTACCCATGGTTTGAGACCCCATGTTTTACCGACAAACGTCATCCCACCTATCCCTATCTTTTGGCAATTGTCTTCTATCAAGATCCGAAAACGTATTCATCTTCCTAACTCGGGCCAGCCTATTATTGGCAATATACTGGAAAAGTTCCTGTTGATCCGCCTGGACAAGGATATTCCTACAAACCCAATTCCTCATTACCAATTCGGCTTTCGGAGTAGCCCTTGAACTAAAGCAATATTGCCCTGGTGTTCTTGGATATACACCAAGGGTTGTGTTAGCTGAAGAACATTCTACCAGCAAACTCATTATCCAAAGATCCTATCTTCACGATCTTTACTTCCAGCTATCCCATTAAACTTCAGTATCTTCCATCCATCGTATTCTAGTAGATGTCCCACAGGGCAGCATCCTCGCCCATTTGGTTTACTCAATTTGTACATCCGACCTACTTACACAACGTAACACACTGTCACCCTCACCATTGCCGACGATACCCCATTCTTTCTCCCGATAAAGATCCTTCAGTCCTATCTCCGACAGTGGAATTAATGTTAATCGAGGTTAGCGAACCTAAATCAACAAACAAAATATTCACACTAAAGAAGAAAAAGCTCCCACCAATTTACAACAATCACTGTCGCAAACCATCCACGATATCTCGGATTCTACCCGGACAAACGACTGACTTCGAACCCCCATACCTGACTTAAACGCGCAGATGTAACATCATGATTTACCAACTTATTTTATCATGTTAAAACGACTTTTCTATAGGCGATTTAATCTCACCTCCGTTTTGACAAACGGACTTGAACTTTACAGGACAGCAAAGCAACCAACCTTATCCAATTCCAACTTTAATAAAATCCACTAATTTCAATCTGAAATCCTCAGAACAATAGTCAATGCCCTTTTGTAAGTTTTCAATCACATCATTAATACGGACCTAAATGTTCCTCTTTTTACTCATCTACCCCAATCCCGCTACAAACGTTCCATTCCAAACTATCCCATCATGTGAACGCTATCGTCAAAAACCTCATTCTAACAGAAAACTGAAGCGTTGATGTTTCCGCGCAACTTCACTACTTGACTTCAGTCTCCTAGGATTGAGCCCATCTCACTCATCATCGTGAATAAAAGAAGATGACAAAAAATTATCAACATAGATTGTTTATATCAAAGTGCAACTGTAGAACTGGTTTTGTTGTATAATTCAGATATATACCCTTAAGTATCCACTTACACCTATATCTGTGTTATTTTACTTGTTCCGAATGATCAACATTCTTTTCGTAATTTACTATAATTTTTTTAAATTTATTTTATTTATTTGTAGCCTATACATACTTGTACATAATACAATGTATATTATTCACGGCTCGGTCACAGCAATAACACTGATGCCAGCGCACCCGGAGGACGCATGCCATGAGAAGCCAGCCAGTGCTGGCACTCATTTTAATGGATTAAGGGGCAAGAAGGTCTCGGGGCCATCGCCGTTTTAGGCGATGTCGTGGATTCTCGGGATGGGAATATGTGGTTATATGGGATATAAGGTTAGGATGGATCGATAGGTTGGTATGAAATTTTTGGAATCGGGAATGGATCAGTTCGTGGACAAAAGGAACGTTGAGGTCTTTGTGGATAGTGAGGTTAGAGACGTAAAAAGGAGCTTTGATGATTTGTCTGAGGACTTTTGATTGGAAGGACTGGATGATGGATGGTTTGGCGGAACCCCACAATTCCACACCGTATGTCCAAAGTGGTATAAGGTCAGTGTAGTGCTGATGGTATTTCTTCATTGTTGATTTACAGTGGAGGGTAAGACTGCTTTTTCAAAGTGAACTGAGTGAATTGGATGCACTTTTCTCCGTTTATTCTTGTCTTCCACTTTTTACACCAACCTTCGATGAGCTCAAGACCATAAAAATTAAATAAAAAAAAATTATAACATGAAAAATGAATAAAATTCCAATACGTTGAATCTCCAAACATCAATGACGAAAGTTGTATATATAATTTATTTTAAGTATTTACAAAGTCGGGCCACAACTATAAAAATTCTGTCGAACGCGACGCAATCGTTGGTAGATACAGTTCTCGGTGTGGACGCTCGGACGCACGAGTTCCTTTCTGCTAAGATAATCCTCAGTTTAAACATAACCATCTTGCATAAACACAATTTTTCAATTTCCAGGCAGGGGATGTGCTGGAGGCCTACCTCGTTAAACAGGACCTGCACAGACTAGACCTCGAGGTGACGACGGAGCTGTTGGACAAGCCGCGGAGAGAGACGGTGCCTCAGGTTGAAGACTTTTTCGAACCACGGCCCAGCTCCTTGAGCTACGTGTCACAAAGGACGGTTCTGTCACAGGAAGATGACGTATTTCTCAAACCCGCACCTCTCTGGGAGGATATCACCTCATCGATACAAAAACTTGACCCTGAGAACGCCGAAATGCTTGCATCAGTCACACAAGTTAAAATGGAGTTCCCAGATGACCAAGTATGTGAATTAGAACAAAGTTACTTGAACTTCCATTCTCTTCGTCTATATAACAACATTAAAATCATTATTTCATTGCTTATCCTGTACGCTTTGACTTACATTTATTTTTCGTTATACAAGTTATTTATATTTTATGGCATGGAACACTTACAAAATGAACGGTTTATGGTATGATAATATATTAATATTAATTTGTTATATCAATTATTTTAACGAGAAGCGTACGCACCTTAACATATTTCAATAAACATTTTCACTGCCTGTGAAGTGCTAAAGATAGATTGCCATAGTTTGAATGAGTCCTTAACCTGTGTTTGGTTTGGTTTGTGATTCTTCTAACGCAAGTGTTTATCAGTATGAAATTACAAATTTGTATATGATTTTTCCAGGTTCTTCACCCACTAATAAAGTGCGAAAAGGGAACCGGCATAACCACCTGCTACAATAGGCAGCAGGTCGACAACGTCGGCCTACCCAGGCGGACACCACCTCCACCCTACCCTCTCCAGTTAAGGCCCCAGGCCAAGTATAACAGGAGAAATAATCCAGAATTAGAAAAAAGGCGGATACACCATTGTACATTTATTGGTAAGCCAACATTGTGCTGCCTAGTTGGAAAATCTAAAGCCGGATCCAAACCTTTAAAAATTTGCGCAGAATATTACACACGAGGTGTGCGTGCGCGTACTGTGGACGGGTCACGCAAGATTTTACGCCATGTCAAACGCGTGCCAACCGAACAGATTTGACGAACAAAAAGGGATTTGTGCCAGTCCTTGATTTTCCTATGCCCCAGTTTTAGTGCAACTATATTGGATTAACCAAAAATTTCACTATGCCAGTTAAGCAGAAAATAAAAATAAAATAGAAATATGAAAACATTACGAATTATCAAAGTGATAGTGGGGTGAGTACTTATTTTCTCACCCCTCAAGTCTTTTATTCATACTGACATTCATTGTTTGTAATATTTCAGTCAATAATTATTCAGAAATCGTGAGATGCGGTCTGGTGTGATGTAGGTTTCAGAAAAACATTTTCTTTATCGTGCCAACGTTTCGATCTTTATTGAGATCATCTTTAGGGCCTGGGATTTACAAACATTATTTACCTATAACAATTACATTTTGGATATGGAAAAGTAACACAATATAATATATAATAAATATTACACATGTTATAAAACACAATATAATATAATTGTATAAATTCAATATTTTCCACATCCTACATGTATTTGTTAAATTTAAACAATGTTTGTAAATCCCAGGCCCTGAAGATGATCTCAATAAAGATCGAAACGTTGGCACGATAAAGAAAATGTTTTTCTTAAACCTACATCACACCAGAATGCATCTCACGATTTTAGAATAATTATCGACTAATGGACACTAATCACCACACATTTCAGTCAATTTTGACCATTTGCCCATTATACGTTTTGTTAGTTTGTGTTTATTTTTGTAATACGTTGGTTTTCAACTTTCTTTTTATATCTTACCGTAAAAACTGATTATCCTTCGATCATTACATTTTCGGAAATTTGGCTTAGTTTACTGGCTTATGATATACATTCAATTATCCTTGTTTTGAACATTCCTCTCATTTCGAGCCATAAAATTTGATCTTGATCTAATCAATCTGGTAAAATTTTTTCGGCACTTAGTTGCAAATTATTTTACGAATTTAGTGATCCATATTCCGTATAATTTTCGGTTTCCTTATGGCAAATGTGGCCATTGAATAACCCAGCAAAAATTCCTCCTATGCAGTGAACTGTACAAAAAATATTGTTAAATTTCGTGGTATCATTTTGTCTTATTCAAAATTTGACCTTACTTACGGCATTAAATATTAATTATAATATATTATGAAATTCACTTCCATCAACGTTAACGCTAAGCAAACCGTTTTGCCCGTTTATAGAAAAAAGGCTTTCTGAGAGCCAATCGTGATTTTAGATGTAGTTTTTTCTACCGCTAATGTAGAAGCAGTTGATGTCGGGTTTTGTCGTGTAGATTATACAGGGTGATTCACAAACTATGCGCGAAACTCACGGAGGATTTTTCAGCTTATTGCAACAAAAAATATTCAATGAATTTTCAAAAAATTCTCAACTGTTTCGGAGATATTTATAAATTCTTTTCTCCAACCTGCTAATTTTACGTTAAAACTCATAACCTTTTTGCTCTTTAAGGTATAGCCATTTTTTTTAAACTGAACCTTGTTGCTCATAGTTTGGCTTTGCGTGTAGATAAAATCTTGGTTGTTGTGTTTTTGTATGGCGTAAAATTTTGAGTGAAATAATTTTTGATTTGCGGCGAAAATATTACTGTGGAATACATTCATCGCAAATTGTTATAGGTGAGGACCAGAATTAAAGGTGAATAGTAATGCATGTAGATTCATCTCGGGGCTTTGCATCTCGCTGTTTATTCAGGCTATAGCCATGATCCTCAAACATTGATAACCCCATATCCGATGGATTAACTTTAGGGATGGTTAGGGTTATGTGAGTGTGTATATTATATATATATAAATTGCAAAATTAAGCCATTAATACATTGCTAATAAAGTATTAAACCACCTTCATTAGACTTAAACAGACTACTAAAACGATATGAAACAAATACATCAGAATAATTTTGTAAAACAGTTTTATCAAGTATGAAACTAAGCCCAAAAAATACAGTTAAGTAAGTACATTTTATAATATCAATTACCAGTAATGATGGTTAATGTACACAGGATAAATGATAGGCTATTATGATTTTAAGGTTGGGCATGTGAATGGTGTAAGTCAATCAAAATCTACTTAAGAACGTAAATTATCGTATGTACTTCATCATATTTGCGAACATATTCTGTTCGAAGTTTGTAAAGGTTCATTTCATTATAATATAACCACACACACACACACACACACACACACACACACACACACACACACACACACACACACACACACACACACACACACACACACACACACACACACACAAACACACACACACACACACACAAACAAACACACACACGCACACGAACAACACTAATGTTACGATTAGTCATTAGTTTTGTTTTCAATGAATTAACGATATTTGAATTTATGATTTTAATGTTTTCACCTAACATGATAAACTTTCTTAGATTAGATTCTTTTATCAACAACATTTATAGTAATCGACATTCATCCGCCGAGCTTTTAATTTTTGGAAATTTCAACTTCCGCATCTTATGTGTTTTCATTTCTTCCTGTTAGATACGCAAATATTTTATTACTCTCATTGAGTTTTAATTGTTACAAACAGCTGGTTTCTAGGACAAATCCATTTTCGGCTTTCGACTTTTCCTTTTTGACATCATTATTAATTGATAATTATTCAGAAATCGTGAGTTGCGGTCTGGTGTGATGTAGGTTTCAGAAAAACATTTTCTTTATCGTGCCAACGTTTAGATCTTTATTGAGATCATCTTCAGGGCCTGGGATTTACAAACATTGTTTAAATTTAACAAATACATGTAGGATGTGGAAAAAAATGAATTTATACAATGCAAAACATATATTTTTTATATTCAATCAAAGTAAACACTTGAACTATTTCGGTTTCGAACCCAAATTAAAAAAGTTTAATAAATTCACTCAAAATTCCCTTAAGTTTTTTTTAATCTTTCACCTTACCAATCCGTGAGCCATGTTTTTCCTTTCCTCCATCAATTTCTTTATCTTTGAAAGAAGTAATTAAAAAAGAAATTATACCAACAAAAAAGGAAATTGAATGAAATTTGCTTGGCTCTAGGTTTGGAAATAGTAATTTAGAATCACCATAGTAAGTTTTTCAACTTGGAAAAAATATTAAAAGAATAAAGGGTTTGCCAAGTCAACAACTGGGATAGGTTAAAAGTTAAAACCACCCAAATTTATTGATTAATTTAGGATTATTTTTTATTTATTCAGATATCGTGAGTTGCGATCTGGTTTGATGTAAATTTCAGAAAAACATTTTCTTTATCGGCCAACGTTTCGATCTTTATTGAGATCATCTTCAGGGCTCAAAGTGTTTGTCTTCTGTGTAATTGTGCCATTCTTGCTTGTCGTGTTGAGACTCTCATGAGGGCACTCTCAACACGACACGCAAGAATACACTTACGATTACTGCAATGCAATTAAATGCAATTACACAGAAGACAAACACTTTGAGCCCTGAAGATGATCTCAATAAAGATCGAAACGTTGGTACGATAAAGAAAAAGTTTTTCTGAAACCTACAACACACCAGACGGAATCTCACGATTTCTGAATAATTTTGTAATTAGGTGGGAGTTTGGATTGTCTATCGAGTAGTGATGATAACTTATTTGTTACTTCTGTCCTTTGTAGTTTGTAACTGTAATCAAAAAGCGGAAAGAGCTTCGAAACGCAAATATTAAAATTGTACTAAATCTATTAAAAACAACACTTTGGACATGCTGAAGAGGTTTTTATAATACAGCTAAGAAAAATTGTCATGAATCAAATCACTCCTTACACCAAGACCTTTAGAAAAAGCAACCAAGATTGTTAATAATATATTGTTTAATAGCCTTTTTTTGTCTTATGGCTATTAAAATTGATTGCAAAATTTCATTTTCTAAGCTCTATTTTATCGACTCAGCAATTGATATTAGAAAACGATTACTCATTGGAAGGTCAAAGCGGAAAAGTGCCAAGGATAAACGTGGCATAAATTACATTTTAATAGATGATATCCGATTGGAGGATTCTATGGGAGTAAGGGGAAAAATCCCATTAACATTTGAGTGGGGGAGTCACGCATCGCGACGTTTTTTCTCCGACGAAAATGGTGCCATGAAAATGGAAGTAACGAATATTCATTATTATTTAATCCACCGGATTGTCAGCTGAATTTGTAAACCTTTCAAGCCTCTTGGTGAATAGTTGGGAGATTTGTCATTTTCGCGGCATTCCATCGATACAGTTCTTTGTTTTAAGTGATGTAATCGAGGTTTTAATGTATATTTTTATGCTAATATATTCCATTTTCTTCCTTGTCTTAAAACCAGTCTTGAGCTGCTTTTTAAAAACTTATATATTTAATTATATCACTAAAAAAGAACACTTATCTACAGTAATTTTTTTCTGTTGAAAATATACTCCGTCGTACATAAAGCCAACTAAAAGTTGTAATTTACACGTCTATAAGATAAACGGTTAGTCCTCATTCAAATATAGATAAAAGAATTTCACTTTTGGAACTTTTCCATTCGTCAAGAGTAGTTTCCGGCCCCGGAGATAGGATAGCCGTCGTTACGACGTATTGAAAAAAAGAAAAACAATGGGGTCGAGATTGTATGAGGCCAAAGATGTCAGGGAAATGGGATATATCAACCGGTCCCGCCCCTCCGGCTCTTCTTGCAGCAAAACGAACAATAGGGCTAATGGGCGAGCTATGAAGGTCCCCGTTTACCTCCCGTCATTCACGGAAAATACGACTGGCAAAAAAGGTCACTCGACGGAAACGGACGGACCCATGAGAGTTAATGGCTAAGGGGACATTCATTGATGCCCTATTTTGCCTCTTTACACCCTCCAGGCGACACTTCCATTGACGCCATCTCGAAAAGAAACCGTCTGAGATTTTGTACCCTTCCTAGAAACATATCAGTCTCTAACGGTAAATCATAATGACAAACATGCGTTTTTCATGTACAAAATACAAATATTTCATTCACTCTACCCCCTTGGTAAAATTTTGTTCACCATGCTTTAATCTAATAATCAGAAATTGTAATTTTAAATTTTAAAAACTCCAATCCACTCTTAACCGCAGCTTAATATAATAATTAATCAAATGCTTTGATCTGCTTACAGTCAACCTATCACTTTTAGAATTCCGAACTTTGGTTCCTGGCTCTAACAAAGATGCTAAGATTTTATTGTGTTAAGGAAACAAAATACAAGTTTTTTCATTACATTCGCCAAGAATATTATAAATTAATTCATTTTTATCCCACTATTAATACATGAAAAAACTCCTCAAAGTCATAAAAGGGATTAACAGTGAGGAATTTTGTTATCTTAAGTTTAAATTTTTTTCAGATTACAGTTCGACATAATCTGTTAGATTATTAAAACATTTTACAACCCAATATTTACAAAAGTTTTCACATCTTTTAAGGTTCAGCCTCTCAGGAACTATTTCATTACAGTTTCTCGTATAGTGATTATGTACAGAATTAATTTTTTTTTAAGTCTCACTTTGTTTGTAACAATAAATTACACATTGTAAGATATATAAGCTGGGCAAAGTCAAAATGTTTAATTTAGTAAATGTTTCTCTGCAACATTCCCTATACTTTAAATTCCATAAAATTCTCATAGCTTCACGGTTTTTTTTTTCAAGATTAGTTTAGCATGACTAGAGTGACCCCATGAGGCATAAAAGTTTTATTGTGTTAAGGAAACCAAATACAAGTTTTTTCATTACATTCGTCAAGTATATTGTAAATTAATTCATTTTTATCCCACTATTAATACATGAAAAAAACTCCTCAAAGTCATAAAAGGCATTAACAGAGAGGAATTTTGTTATCTTAATTTAAAATTCTTTTGAGGTTACAGTTCGACATAATCTGGTAGGTCATTAAAACATTTTAAACATTTTAAAACCCAATATTTAGAAGTTTTCACATCTTTTAAGGTTCAGGAACTATTTCATTACAGTGTCTCGTATAGTGATTATGTACAGAATTAATTTTTTTTTAAGTCTCACTTTGTTTGTAACAATAAATTACACATTGTAAGATATATAAGCTGGGCAATATCAAAATGTTTAATTTAGTAAATGTTTCTCTGCAACATTCTCTATACTTTAAAGTCCCTAAAATTCTCCTAGCTTTACGTGTTTTTTTTTCAAGATTAGTTTAGCGTGACTAGAGTGACCCCATAAGGCATAAACAACGTACTATTGGAAACAAGAAGCATAAACATTAATTGAAACTCTTTGAGATAGATTACACTTGAGACTTCTCAGTAAAAATAATTTTGCTAAGTTTATATGGAACAAACTGAAAATGTGCATCTCGTGAGAGAGGTGAGATGCTAAACCTAATTGTTTTATTGGTTGATTGTCGGTTTGTATTTCTTGAATTAGAAGTTTTCAGAATCATAACCTTTTTCTTCTCTTTGTTTTAGACCATTCTCAATGAAGCATTTTTCCATTCAGTTCATTATTTTGTTCCATCAGCCACTTGGTCCATTCAACAGGAACTGCAGTCATCAGTACACCCTGTAAAATGAATTGTGGGAAAATAACTGTAAAGGTCATTCGTGAAAATTATGTACATATGGGGCCTAGAATCTTAGAAATATAGGAATTAGATAGGGTCTATCGAGTCAAGTGTTGGTGTTTGTTCGTTTTTATTTTGAAAAAATCAACAGGTCCAGAAAAGAATGGCGGTTTTTTTCGCAGAATATTGAACAATGAATAACCAAAATTTATTCTTATATTGTTAAATGATATAATAATAAATAAATTGCAATTTATTGAATTAACATGTTAACAAACCAGCGAAAAGTACACACGGCTTATTGTTATCAATTTAACTACATACACACGTACCTATAATAGTAACATTGAAGAATACAATAAATTACAAATTTAAAACCCTGCATTAGATCAAACAATTAAATATAAACAATGATGGACAAAATAAACGTACCACCATTAAATTTTAATGTGTGGTGTTTAGTAACCGTTAGTGAATGATTATTCCGAGATCGTGAGATGCGGTCTGGTGCGATGTAGGTTTCGGAAAAACGTTTTCTTTATCCTGCCAACGTTTCGATCTTTATTGAGATCATCTTCAGAGTTCAAAGTGTTTTCTGCGTAATTGTGTCATTCTTGTGTGTCGTGTTACACTAAAACTTACGTCACGTCAGACCCCATCTCACGATCTCCGAATAATCATTCACTAACGGTCACTAAACACCACATATTGTTACAGAGAATTCACAGATCTCATTGTACCTCAAAATTATGCATTCGAGAAGGTGTTCAAAATCAATTCACGCAGAAAACAAACACTGAGTGAGTAGAAATATTGATTGAATATAAAAAAATATTAAATTCACTAGTTTCGTGGTCCGCTTGACCAATTAATATATTTCAATTAATTAAGGTTTTTAGTTGAGATGGAAAAGTCAGTGTCACGAGCGGGCTTCGAACCCACGATCTTCGGCTAGATACGCCGTTGCTCTACCACTTGAGCTATCGTGACCTCGATGCACTCGGACACTACCTTCCCAACTTTTGAATTCTCTCTCCTTTTTGCCATTTTTCGAAGTATTTCTACTCACTCAAAGTGTTTGTTTTCTGCGCATGTGCGTCAACACTGAGTGAGTAGAAATAATTTGAATGAATATAAAAAAATATTTTTTTTCTCATTGTATAAATTCACTGTTTTCCACATCCTACATGTTTTTGTTAAATTTAAACAATGTTTGTGAATCTCAGGCCGTAAGATGATCTCAATAAAGATCGAAACGTTGGCACGATAAAGAAAATGTTTTTCAGAAACCTATATCACACCAGACCGCATCTCACGATTTCTGAATAATTATTGACTGATATATTACAAACAATGAATGTCGGTATGAATAAAAGACTTAGGGGTGAGAAAATAAGTTTAACAAGTATTGACCGCAGTCTCACATTGATCATTATTAATTGATAATTATTCAGAAATCGTGAGATGCGGTTTGGTGTGTTGCAGGTTTCAGAAAAACTCTTTCTTTATCGTGCCAACGTTTCGATCTTTACTGAGATCATCTTCAGGGCTAAAGTGTTCGTCTTTCGGCCACACGACACGCAAGAATGGCACAGTTACACAGAAGACAAAAAAAAAGGATTGTTTATGCAGAAGTAACAAATAAGTTATCACCACTACTCGATAGACAATCCATCATCTTCAGGCGTGAGAGTGACCTCAACACGACAAGCAAGAAAGGCACAATTACACAGAAGACAAACACTTTGAACCTTGAAGATGATCTCAATAAAGATCGTAACGTTGGCACGATAAAGAAAATGTTTTTCTGAAACCTACATCACACCAGACCGCATCTCACGATTTTTGAATAATCATTTGAACAAAATAAATATATCAATATATTGTAAAATTTACATCATAAAGAATGCTGAACAATAAAATCTTTCTTATCTATTTTTTCAAAAAATGCATAAAAACATTTTTTTTAGTTTTTCCTTAAACAATAAAAAAAATTATGGTAAATTTTCTGTCACTCAATGATGTCTAAGGTTCAAAGAACATATTTAACTTTTTCAGCTAACTTTTATTTTTTTGCTTCTACTAAAGTACATTTTTATGATCGACTTGTTTCTGTTGTGAGTCTATGTACTTTGCTTGATGATTTATGTTTACTGTTATTTATAAAGATTGTAATTATTTTCAGGCTGTAATAAAGTGTATACTAAGAGTTCACATTTAAAGGCCCACCAGCGGATACACACGGGTAAGTTCTTTTTCTTTTACTTAGACATAAACTTTCTTTCGTGAATAATAACAAAGTGCCGATGTTCCGTGCAGAAGTTTCTTTGTAAATATCTGCCTTTGATAATTTTCCGATACCACGGGGCGAGATTAATACAACAGGGTTTCACAATAGGGTTAGTGGATTTACGACGCCTTAGATATCAATTTGCAGCAATAACCGTCGTCGGCGTCGATATATCTACAGTAAGTCACCGATTCTTGCACCTATTCGCAAATTCACTTAACAACCTATAATTTATGCACGTTTATATAATTTCGCTATAAACTTAATTTTAATTAAAAACTTGTTTAATCGAAAGTTCAATAAGCACGCGTTGGGTTTTTGATTTAGATGTTTTTCTTAGATTAATGTATTCAACCGGCTACGTGCAAAAGCGATGCCTGTTGAATACATGAATCTAATCTATCTAATCAACCTTAGTCATTCCCAACGAATAATCACGGTTTCATGAATTACTATTGTAAATTCTTATTTCTCCGATTAACAAACAGCTTGCGTTATTTGATAAATTATACATCTAGAGAATAAACTCGTATAAGTCATGATTTGTTCAAAGGAAGCGTGATGGCCAAAATTGTCGATGATCGAAAAAAAAAGAAAAGAAAATTTGTATCCAATTAGTTCCGCTAATTATAAGTGAATAATAAATTTTATGGATAATAGAACATGAGTGTATCGCACAACACGTTTACTTAAAACCGAGAAAAAAAATCACTGATTTATTTCATGACTATCCAAAATGAAAAATCCCAAATTTAATGCAAATGACAAACAATATATTTAAATTAAAAATGTATTAAACTCCAGTTAGACCCAGATATACGTACTGAAAGCTAACTAACTAACTAGCTAAGCTAAGCTGTAGTTAAGAGAAATATTAAAGGCTATCTTTACAGAAATTCGTAATTTTTAGTGAAAGAAGTGAAATTTATAACGCTAATACGAATAATATATTAGGAAGATTTTGAATGCCAATGTAGAGTTCAAATCTTCTTTAAGGTCTTTACTAGGTGAAAGAAAGACAAAAGTGTTGGGATCACCAAGCTTTCGGCAACATTATGTTGCCATCATCAGGGCCTATTTATTAAGAAAAAATATACATAATTAATATAAATTCAACATTCAACAATTAAAACAATAATGCATACTTTCCCAAGAGAGAAGAGCAAAAAATTCTTATCGGAGAAAAAAACTAATGTAAAAGTGCTTTGGTTTAGGTTATGAAGCACATGGCCAGCATTCAGTTATACATGGTGAACAAGGCATCTATGTAAAGTAGTGAGTAATTATTCGCATATAACATTAACAATTGACAAAAATAATAATTTATATATATAATAACAATTTTTTCTAAAAAATTACCTCACTTTTTATTTTTAAAAAAAATTGTTAGTTGCTAGTAATAAAAAGATATATAAAATAAAATAAATTAAGGTTATAAAAATTAAGGTTTTTAAGCCTTTGTAGCATGTTTTCCAAGTTGCCACTTCTTTCCCTTTTTACAGGCGTTGACACGGCGCTCATCATTGTAAGATTAATGTCGCGGGTTCGAATCCAGCGACCCTGCATTCGAAAACGACATAATTACAAATGGGCTTTTTTTCAAAAACACCGGCACCGTAAGGGTTTACATGACCACTGCTGTTGCGAACCCTCGTAAAAAAAATAAAAATATATTTGAAAATTGTGCGCAGAAACGAAGATACAGATGCCGATGCCGACGCAGAAGGCAGGATGATAAGTTAGATTTACCCACGGACCACGGTTTAGACACAATTAAAATTAAATGCATATATCGATGTCGTATACTAGACGGCAGTCTCTCATCCAATTTGAAGGACTGACTGGGATATTTTTTAATCATTCATCTAATAATAAATAAGAAAAATTTATGGTCAAGTTTTTGTAAATTTGTGTGGTGATTAGTGACCGTTAGTCGAAGATTATTCAGAAATCGTGAGATGCGGTCTGGTGTGATGTAGGTTTCAGAAAAACATTTTCTTTATCGTGCCAACGTTCGATCTTTATTGAGATCATCTTCAGGGCTCAAAGTGTTTGTTTTCTGTGTAATTGAGCCATTTTTTCTTGTCGTGTTGAGAGTCAATCATTCACTCTCAACACGACAAGAATGAATGGCACAATTACACAGAAGACAAACAGTTTGAGCCCTGAAGATGATCTCAATAAAGATCGAAACGTTGGCACGATAAAGAAAATGTTTTTCTGAAACCTACGTCACACCAGATCGCATCTTATGATTCCTGAATAATTTTTGTAAATTTTTTTTTCGTAAATAAGAAACGAATTTATCGATACATTTCAACGAATATATCGATATATTTAAAGTATTTATACTCAAGTATATCGAATATACTCGATACATATAAAAATATATTCTACGGACATACATATAATGAAACGGTCAATCGTTCAGAGTGACGCCACTCTTGATAAAATGAATGAACAAATTCTACTTACTGATTATAAAATTGATTCGACCAGAATTATAGCAAAGAAATTTGGGAACAAAAGTAATCAATAACTGCATGATGAACTGGGGGTTGCCTCTATCATAAGAGGTCGACAGATTGTGTGAAAAAATGTCGGCTCTACCGTTATTTTAAAACCAGTTCAGAACTAAGTAATAATTGATACTAAATATTATTATTATAATGTGATACAGAAAGGGCGTTATCATTTTACACTAACTAAAGTATTGTTGTAGCTACTGCCTGCTTTCCTTCGGACGTAGTCGCATTTTCTCCAAAATACGATGACTCGAAGCATGATTTATCTATCTTTAATCAGTTTATGAAAGTGGTAATCTCTCTGGAGTGTTGTATGCTGGATAAAGCGAATGCGGACAGGCGGTGCAGGTTAGAACCGATTTGAAAAGTCATTGTGGCAGGGAAAGCTTTTAACTTAGCATACATGTCTCGCCTTCGGATAGGAGAGATCACTTTCTTGAGCGGTAATAATTTTCGCTCTTTCATTTAATAATAATGACTGGTTGACAGAAATTGATTTCACACCTTCTTCAACCAGCTGATTTATTCGAAACGAACGACGGCATCCATATGTAGACGAATTGAGATCCTGGTTTTCAAGATCATTTTATATACATATTTGCATTTGTACTCTTGCTCATTAATGAAAAATAACTCTTAATTTTTAACCAACTCTTTAAAGCCAATATGACTAAAGAAGGATCTTTTTTTATATATAGAAAGTAGCAGCATTAACAATTTAAGCAGCTCAATGATTCCCATTGATTAACTGTAATTATCGTACTTGGGTAACTATAGTTATTAACTTAAAACATCAAAAGTCGATTTTCAAGTTTCCATCATATCAGTCCTAACGGAACCAAACTCTAGTGGTTCTTAGTTATTAATATATGAAACAAATACTAGACTTATTTTATAAAGAAAAGAAAATCAGTCAGGGAAAAGCTTTTAATAGTTACAATTAATTAAGGTTTTTAGTTGAGATAAAAAAATCAATGGCACGAGCGGGATTCGAACCCACGATCTTCGGCTAGATACGCCGCTGCTCTACCACTTGAGCTATCGTGACCTCGATCCACTCGGACATCAACTTCCTATCTCAACCCCACCTTATGAGTTTTCCCTCCTTGGTAGAGCAGCGGCGTATCTAGCCGAAGATCGTGGGTTCGAATCCCGCTCGTGCCATTAACTTTTTTTCATCTCAACTAAAAACCTTAATTAATTGTAATGTATTAATTAGTGTGGATGAGAATGTCCATTTCAGCAGTGAATTTGGCTGATTTTTCCATTTTTGTTGTAAGCACTGCGATAATGCAAGATGTGATGCTGCAGCTAATTTGTTTTGAACTGTTAGATTGTGTTCAAATTCAAATGCCGCAGGTATGAGCGACAAAAATATTTACAGCTGATAGGATCTGAACCCTTTTTTGGAATAGGAATTCGCACTATCAATGAATACCAAAGACAAAAGGACAAAATGAAAATGAGCGAACTGTGTAATTCACTCACTGGACATAAAAATCCAAGAACATCCTTGCAAATTTTGGAAAAAAGAAACATCCCATATTTTATAGAGGACATAAGAAACTAAAATAGACATTTCCCACTAGTGTGATTGTAATGCAATATATCAGTCATGCAGTGGAAGTAACATTGAAAACCCAATTACTAACCGTCTCCCCCCCCCCCAACAAAAAGTTAGAGCATTGCCCATAAACCTAATTTTGGAAAAAAACCCAGAATGGATCAAAGGAAGCAAGAAAATTTGGAAAAATAAAGAAAAAAAATCATAAGGATTCTTTACCCCTGCACACTGAATGGGCATCTGAAGAAGATGGGTATAATCCAAGACGGCACATGCAGATTCTGCAACTCTACTAACAAAATGTGGTGCCATATTCCCACGCAGGAGGAAGTGGTTTGGGATGTACGATATGGCCGTAGAAGAAATTCAACCATTGAGACCGGGCCTATTAATCAAGTTCCTTAAAGAAATAGGACTCAGTGGCGTGCTATATGGAGCTCTGTAACCACAGGTATACAATAGCTCACAATGTCGCAGAATACAATTATGCAGGGTGGGCGACCATGACCCGAGGGGTAGACTCGTACCCCGTAAAAGGTCTTGGTCGGCTCACGTGACCTGCATAAACCTCTTAGACCTGTTCAAACCCCAAGATTTTGGACCATCAGAGTGATTTGTGATGTCCTCTCCTTCAAAAGTTTCAAATCTAGAGCTAGTGCCAATCACACTCAGCGTGCCTTGCCGTTATTTCTTTTATTTCGTAAAAACGGCAAAAGGGATCTGGTAGAATACCCTTTACGGAGAGGTGTCTTCTCAGTGGGCAGTGGCCCGTCAGGATACCTATCAGCCTCCTAATTTCCTTCCTTGAGATAGAGAATAGCCATTTCGATTCTGCTGGTTTGATCTCCTTAACCAACTCCTTCGAT